TCCATCATCTGGATGAAGCAAATTTATCTTTTCTTTACTGAAGACATTTTGATGACTTCCATGTTTGGGCAGTGGTGATCTGTAAATATCCTTCTTCTGGTTTTCATGTGGACTTCAGTGTCCAGGTCCCCTTACTCAATACCAGAGTCCCGTATTAAAGGTGCTATTTTCCGGCCTTCCTGGTGGCACAAGGGGTTACATCTTGGCACTATGAAGCTATCTGTAGCCATTGCAGCATGAGTTCGATCCTCTCACTGCCCACTGCTGCCCTCCCACCCCCACCTTGCACCTCTGGCCTGTACCCCAGTTCTTGTTTGTATAAATAAATCTTTAAAAAATCAAAGTGTTGTTTTCTTTTCAGGACAGCAGCAAAGTATCTCTGGATGTCGTCCCGTGTTGGCGTTTAGATCTGGAGCCTTAGCACATTTTGCACAAGGCGTGCTGTGCTCCTTACTTACAGATTATGCTGGTGATTTTCAATATGAGTCTTTTTCACCATGCTGGAGTCACAGTGCACTAGTTCACTGCATCTATTGGAAACTTTCAATTGTACAGTTCTACTAACAGTACCTACATTTGCACATTGGCATTCATATATATGCGTATTTTGTGTGTACTTGATCATGCCATGTACGCTAAAGTTATTTCTGTAAACAGGGACTTTACATTAAAGAAATTAACAGAACAGTGTATAGACAGTCTTTTTTTTTTTTTTTTTTAAAGATTTATTTACTTATGCATACAAGAAGTGGGGTATAGGCCAGAGGTGCAGGGGCAGGGATGAGAGGATTCACCACAGAGATGAAGTGGGGAGCAGAACAGGCAGACTGAAATACACTGCTGAGGGGAGCAGCGGGGGAGTCAGGAGAGGTCTGCTGTGCCATGTGGGTAGCTCCCTGGCTGGGGCCCTGGCTGGGGATCTAACTTGTGCTGCAGAGGCTTCAGATAGCTTCACAGTGCTGTGCTTAACCACTGTGCCACCAGGGGGACCCGGCAGTCTTTTATATTGACCCACACAGGTGTGATTCCAGAGATCCACAGATCCTTTTCTGTGGAGGCAAGTTGACATCCAGTGACCTTTTCTTTCACCCTGGAGGGGAACCCTTAGCATTTTGTGCTGCCGTCTGCTGATCTGATGAATTGTCTTAGTTTGCTTTCTGAAAATGTCTTTATTCTCCTTTGTTTTCTTTTTGCCTGGTTGCACTGGATCTAAGATGGTGCATTGAATGGTATTTCTTCTAGCACTTTGAAGATATTTTTCTCTTTTTCTGAAACTTGTCCTCCTCTGCACTCTTCTAACTCTGTTTTCTTTTAAGATCTCATCTTTGGACAGTGGCGGTTTGTGATGTACCTGGAGAGTGTTCTTTGGTCTGACCTGACTGGGTCATCAAGTTTATTGGATATTTCCTTTTAGGCCGATAAATTTGGCAAGATTTTAGCAATTATTTCTCAAAATGAATGTTATCTTTCATACTTTCTCTTCTTCTGGAACTACAATTGCATGTATGTGACACTTTTCTCATAGTATTTCAGAGCATCTTTCTATGCTCCTTCATATATATATTTAAAATGATTAGAGGGCCTCCTTGGTGGCATTAGGGTTAAGTCTCAGCACCATCACCCCTAAGGCCTGAGTTCAATACCACACATGGCGCAGCAGACCTCTCCTATCTCACCTGCTGCTCCCCTCAGCAGTGTATTTCAGTCAGGCTGCCTGTTCTGCTCCCCGCTCTCTCTCTGGTGAATCCTCTCACCCCCCTGCACCTCTGGCCTACACCCCAGTTCTATGCATAAATAAATTTAAAAATCTTAAAAAAATAAAATTACTAGAAAATATCTGTTCATCTATCATGAACTGCAGTGACTTTCTTTTGAGTTTTTAAATATGATGTTAGCCTATCAGTACATTTTTCTTTTTTGTGTACAGCTGTCTGAATTTCATTTGGCTGTTTTGCTAGTTTCTTTTTCTCTACACATAACTCCATTCTTAATATAATTCTTTTTATATTTTCATTTTGTACTTATACTCTTATAGATGGTAGATCCTATATGTTGGAGATCCTGAATCCCGTGATCTTGTTCTCAAGGCTGTTAACATGACTGAATTCCAGTTCCTTACTTTATTCCTTGAAGTTACCAGTAGCTGACTCCCCGTTTCCTTCAGTTTCTAGTTGCTTCTTTATGTTTGGCCCTTTGAGGTGGTTCACATATTTGCAGATTCATAGTCTGATGACAGTTGGGGTTGGTTTTATAGGGAACATTGGGCTGGTTACATTCTTCTACTTCATCTTCCAGAACTGGGCCCCACCATTTCCTAGTCTCCTGCCAGCTCTGAATGGTGCCCTGCTTCCTTGAACCAGTGACGCTTTGGGTTTCAGTTCTGTGACCCTTTACACTGCGGAGTGCTCCTTGGTGGCGCCTCATCTTGCAGCAGTTTGTCCTTGAACTGTCTCCTCTGTCTGGTTTCTGCCTGCATTGGTTACTCTCCAGGGCCCTAGCTGGTGGTTCCAAATTTTCTAATATTTCCTGCTCATTGCTAGTTGACCAGGCTGCTGTGCCCTTACCACACAGCCAGCTCCCTGTCTTGCCTGCTTTTATTTCAGTGTCATTTTCTCTCCACTGGGTCATTGTTCAGCTTTCTTAAGTCTTCTGATCTTTTCATTATTAGTTCTATTTATTTTAGTTACTACTTTAAAGATCGCAGTATTAACCTTTAATTTTTCACATTCTACTTTGAAATCATACACCATATCTCATATCATTTAGAATTTCGTAGCAGCAAATTCCTCTCATCAGCTTCTGAGCTATTATTGATATAATTTTTACTCCCACATCTTAAATTCCAGAGTGTAATTTTATTTTGTTTCAAATGTTCAAATATTTTTAAAAGAGTATTAAACTGAAATCAAAGCATATTTTGTGCTGCTTTTCTGCTTACTACTTTCCGTGCTTCTGTTCCTTTATATACTCATATTTCTAGCCGGTATCATTTTTCTTCTGATTGTAGGAAATTTGATTATGGGTTATCTTGGTTTTGTTTAAAGATTTTATTTATTTATTTTTCCGTAGAAGAACGGGGTGCATATTTACTTTAATGAGGATTTTTACTGCCCCAAAGCGTCTTCAATACTATTAAGAGTTGTTAACTTGAGGGTCCCAACAATCACTCTCAGATTCAGAAATAAGCTGGCAGGACTCTCCCCTCCCCCTTCATTAGTTTGGTTGTATCTGTGTCCTAGAATTTTTTTTTATTTCTAGGTTTTTGTTCCTGCTCAGATTTCTTTACATTGTTTGTTAAATGTATTGCTTGTAGGGCCTCCCCTGGTGGCGTGGGCTGTTGAGCACCGTGCTGTGAAGCTGTCCACAGCCTCTGCAGCACTGGTTCTATCGCAGCCGGCCGGCCATGGACCCACATGGTGCCACAGACCTCTCCTGTGGCGCTCGCTGCTCCCCTCAGCAGTGTATTTCCTCCGTCTGCCTGTTCTGTTCCCCTCTCTGTCTCTGGTGAATCCTCTCACCCTCCGCGCATCTGGCCTGTACCCAGGTTCTTGTATAAATAAATAAATCTTAAAAAAAAATGTATTGCTTGTAGTTTATTCTTTCCATTAATATTGTGTGGGTGTTTTGTATGTGTGTTCTTGTATATGTATCTGTGAGGAATTATATATATAATTTTTTTTAAGATTTATTTATTTATGCATACAAGAACTGGGGTGCAGGCCAGAGGTATGGGGGAGGTGAGAGAATTCACCAGAGACAGAGTTGGGGAGCAGAACAGGCAGATGAATTTAAATATACTGCTGAGGATTCCACTCCTAGGTATTTACCCAAAGGACACAGAAACATCAATTCCAAAGAACACCTGCACCCCTATGTTTATAGAGCTCTATTTACAATAGCTAAGCTTTGGAAACAGCCCAAATGCCCAAATATAGATGACTGGATCAAAAAGATGTGGTACATATATACCATGGAATATTACTCAGCATTCAAAAAAGATAAACACATGCGATTTGCAGCAACATGGATGGCGCTGGAAGGGATCATGCTCAGCGAAATAAGCCAGAAAGAAAAAGAAAAATACCGGATGGTCTCACTCATAGCAGGAATCTAGAAAACTTAAATAAGGAACCAGGAAAAAGTATAACTATAAGAAAGTGAAAATCAAAATCAACAAAAAACTATGAACCAGAGACACTTTTGGGGGTGGTAGGGGGCGGGAGGGGAGGGATTGGGGTCAAAATGGGGGGGTTGCAATTGTATGGGGAATATAAAAAAAAATTATTATTTAAAAATAAATAAATAAATAAATAAATATACTGCTGAGGGAAGCAGTTAGCGAGACAGGAGAGGTCTGCTGCACCCTGTGGGTCACCTACCTGGCTGGGGGTCGAACTCATGCAGCAGTGTTAAGGATTGCTTCATAGTACTGAGACTTAACCCCTTGCGCCAGCAGGGAGGCCCCTTGTATATATAATTTGTATAGTCTTCTGAGAGTTTTCCTTTTTGCAGTAGATTTTATGGGAATCGCTTCGGCTTTCCAAACATGAATTATAGCTAATTATGATTATTGTGATTTTTCTCTTCTCGGTTATGGTGACTCATCCTATGACACGGTGTTAGCTAGCAGGGATGGACCTTCCTTGCTCTCCTTTGACCCCATGTGTGTACGATGCTGGCCTTCTTTATTGCTAAGCCAAGTACACTGAATTGTGTTAAGGAAGAATCGCTGAATCCTTATTTTTTAGTTATTATAAACAGGAAGGTATTTTTATACATTCCTACTCAATATGAATGTGGATGTTCCAAGGACTTTTCTACACGGAGATATAAATATGATGAAATGTTTTATTAATTTTCTTAGTATTGTGGTTTCTTTATATCCAGCATAGATTTTTTAAAAAAAAAATCTGTTCATTGCTATGACCTACTTTTGCTTGTCAGAAGTTATTCTTGTCTCTTGCAATTCTTGTTCCTCTTCTCCTTTCGGTCTCTTTGGTTCTGGTTGAGCCGCGTTGTTCACCGTGATGGCTGTAAAGCTGCCCCTCGAACTCTGGTGATGCCCAAACCTCTATCTTGGGCTTGGAGTTCCTGCCCCATGGAGCTCACGCGCAGTCGTCAGCGAGATCCATCCTCACACGGTGGAGCAGAATTGCATTGATTGTTAGGTTTGTGCACGGTCCGCCTCCCCTCTGTCCCTTGGGTTCTTTGGCTTTTTTCCCAATCTCGGGCGACGGCCCCAACATCTTCCTCGCTAGTCCCGTGCACAGCGAGTCGGGAAAACATTCCTTCCACCCTCCAGACCACAGGTTTTTTCTAAGTTCTCTTCCTCCTCCCTCTCCCTGCCCCCATTTTAGAAGTGACACCCCGCTCTGTATACTCACTTCTCTGTTAGGTGATCACCTCTTACCTCTGTGGTTGCCTCATGTTTTACACCCTGTAATTTAGGATCTGTTTGTTTTGGTTTTTCTCTACTCTTTAGGTGGGAGTAGACTTTCTGTAACATAAAGTGAAGTAAATATTCGGATGGATATGTGCATACTTTCAGTTTGTTATTAAGAATATGATCAGGGCCTCCCCTGGTGGCTCAGCGTTGAGCGCTGGGCTGCAAAGCTGCCCACAGCCTCTGTGGCACCGGTTCAATCCCCGGCCACTGGCGAGGGTCCCACATGGCACACAGACCTCTCCTGCCGCCCGCTGCTCCCCTCAGCAGTGTACTTCGTCCGTCTGCCTGTTCTGTTCCCCACTCTGGCTCTGGTGAATTCTCTCACCCTCCCGTGCTTCTGACTGTACCCAGTGCTTGTATAAATCAATCAATCAATCAATCAATCAATCAATCTTAAAAAAAATTGTATAGGGCAAAAACCATTAAAAAAAAAGAATATGATCACATAACATTCTTCTTCGTTGCTGGAATGAGTTTGTATTCTAAGTGCAGACTCACTTCATTTTCAGATCTTGAATACGTCTACTGTTTGTCTCTTCTCACAGCCCAAACACATGACCCCGGCAGAGTGCTCTTTGCACCTCACTTACCAGGGAGACTATTTTTATTTTTTCACATGTTGACTTCTCTTGTCTTCTACTGAGACCCTGTGATGTACATGTCTATTTCTTCATTGATGTGTAACTGATAGCGTAATTTGCTGGCTTGTGCCATTTTTACCCATGTCTACATTGAACATGGTTTTAGTTTTTATTTTTTTTAAGATTTATTTATTTATGCATACAAGAACTGGGGTACAGGCCAGAGGTGCAGAGGGTTGAGAGGATTCGCCAGAGACAGAGTGGGGAATAGAACAAGAGGAATGACTGAAATATACTGCTGAGTGGAGCAGCAGGCGAGTCAGGATAGATCTGTTGCACCATGTGGGTTGCTCCCTGGCAGGAGATCGAACTCATGCTGCAGTGGCTGTGGATAGCTTTATAGGTTGCTTCTTAACCCCTTGTACCACCAGGGAGGCCCTGAACATGGTTTTAATGTACCTCCTTTATCATATTATTCTTGGTTTATGTGTTTATTTTCATATCTGCTACTCAGGTTATAAACTATTTGAGGAACCAGTTTTAATTCATCCTTCTATTTTTAGCATCTACGAAAGCTTTGATTTATATGAGAAACTATAAAAGTACTTTTGGGAGCCATCCAGTTATTAAAGATGTAGATTTTTCTCCTGTGAACTCTGTATCATTGCATGGAGTACAAAGGGTGGTGCATTCTGTATCAGGTAAAAGAGCCACAGGAGAATGAGCCCTCACACTTCCTGTTGTCTGACCCAGGCTGGTGCCTTGAATTGAGGAGAACTGTGCCATTACAGGGGATGGTGTCATTTGAGGACGTGGCTATGAAATTCACCTGGGAGGAGTGGCAGGGCCTGGATGATGCTCAGAGGATCCTATAGCAGGATGTGATGCTGGAGACCTACCGTAATCTGGTCAATAGGTGAGGAAACTGCCTTGGAACTCTGTAGTGCAAGCTATGTTCTCTGCATTGATAAATGTGCCCTTGCTTATGAAATAAAATGCTGTTTTGGTTTAAGATGAGAGCAAAGTAGAATGTGGGTGTTCAACCGTACAACGTAAGCTTGACAGTGGCTGTTCATTGCACAGCCCTTAAAGCGGTGCTTTTATCCTTTTCAAAGATCGAAACCTAAGACATTTGGTCAAGGCCAACATTATCTCTCCTTACAGGGCTTTGTGTTAACAAAGTGGAAGGGATCGTCAGTTTGGAGCTGGGAGCAGGACAACAGACTATAGAAGAACCCCCAGAGCAGAGCCTCTCGGGTCAGTCGGAGCGCACTGGTCAGGGAGGCCGGAAGAAGACAGCCACGCGCATAGTGGCCCTCCTGAGCTCCTTGTCCCCCTGTGCAGACCTTAGGACAGTTTTATTCTGTTTCCAAATATGACTCTTCCTTGTAAATTCCCCCTCATTTTTTAATGTTTGTCAGTTTTCTCAGACTTAGGCAACTGCCTCTTCTAGAAACCTTTTCTTGGTTAGCCACATTTTTGGGATTCCAGTTTTACTTTTTTCTCATAGTTTTCTCAAACTTTTTTCTTTCAGGCATTTGCTCAAACATTTGATTCTTTCAACATGTTCATGGGAGTTTTATACACTCATGTGTAAATTTCGTACATTTAGGAATAACAACAGTAGTTAGGGAAACATCCTTTGCATTTTTGAAATGCTATTGTGTGAGATGGAACGTGAATCAAATACACATATTAAATACTGAGATAAATCCACGGAATATGTTTAACCAGCATGAGAGAATCATGGAAGGTGTTATTTTAGAAATTCTATTTAGAAGGCACAGTTCTGATGAGTTAGTATTTAAATGTTGAGAGTTAAATCTTAAATAATGAGGTAAAGGTAGAAAGAATATTTATTCAGGATGAGGAGAAACATGGTGAGTCTTACTTTACAAAGTATGCTGAGAAGGCAGTGTTCTGGAGATGAAGCTGTTTATATCACGGAGCTTAAGTTTGAGACGAATGTTTTCCATTTTGACATGTATTATCTATAGGTGCATATACACTGGGGGGGGTAGAGGTTGGATATAGCCATTCAACCTCTGTAATTGAATAGAAGATTAATTAATTAATCACATCAAGATTAATTAATGTAATTGAATAGAAGATTAACTTAAGAATTAGAGGATACTGACTAGGGAGTTATTTCAGAACATGAATCAAGGTGCAGGAACGTTTCCCCATGATACTCAACTTCAGAAATTGTGAGCTGGGGAAGACCTAGCAAATTGTTCAGCATGGAGAGGGATGGTCTGTGACATGGGGCTAGAAACCAGTGATTGTGGTTCCCCAACTTGTGGAACCAAGAGTTTCAGGTGAGGGGGATAGAGCTTGAACTGCACAGTTTCCCCTTCTGTTGCAGGAATATTAGGAAGAAAACAAAATAATTAGACACTTAAGAGACTCCATTTTAAGGGTATGAAACAGCTAAAACTAAACTATCATTAAAAATCTTTATATTCTGTGAATTACCACTAGAAATGTGTACCAAGAAGTGGATGAGAATACAAGAGTGTTGCTCTTAGAAGGTTGTAGAGAAATGCTTTTCAGTGCTTAGGTGTCACAGCGTGGATGCAGAACCTCTATCCTGAGATCAGTAAGGAAAGGTTGTATAAAAAGTTATTTCCTGTATCTGTTATTGTTCGAATAGCTTGTGATGGAGTGTTAGGTAGGAATTTCCAGAACCACGTCATTTTCTGTTGTGGAGAAGGAAATACCTAAAGCGTGTGCACAGGAGAAGTAGAAACTAAAGAAATGTGTAGGGGTAAGATTCTTGTCTGTAAGCCATATTCTTGCATTCTTGACAGAAAAATGGCCCTCTGTACAGCCATTTGATAGGTGACCCAGAAATACTATACCATTTGCAAGGCTTTCTTATTCAGAAAATACCAGCAAAAGGTATACAGAGTTACTGTAAGAAAAAAGCAGAGAGAAAACTTGCTAAATGGTAGGAGAAATGCTCCAGGCTGAAATCTACATGTAGACTGTAGTGAATATATTTACCAAATATTTCCTTCTGAATTCAAAGAGTAAAACAATATGAAAAAATGTTGCTTCTTTGTCAACTCTTGGTTTGGCATTAGACAATCTATTAAAGTAATTTGTTACATCATTTATTAGGTTTAGAAACGATGAATCATAACATCAATACTATCTAGTCTTTTGAAATGGTGTTGTAGTAAACTTTTGCACCTTTATATTAGCATTTAACAGAAAATGCTTAGATGTTCATAGTCATGGTTGTTTTTATCTCATTTTAGATGTTTGGCCTGTGGGTGACCAGATTAAGACCAGCCGGCAAAATCAGGGGAGACATCTGTGGCAAGTTCCAACCTCCAACAGCAAGACTTCCTCTGAGATACATTACTTAGGGAACGGGTATGAGTGTCAGAGTACCTGTGATACGTCAGCTCTCATTGTCCAAAATGGAACTCAAGTAGGGCAGAGCCCCTACACATGCGATGAGGAGGAGAAACCCATCTATGAGAAACCAACACATTTGAATCTTCATACATATTTGGGAGATGAACAGTACCAATGTAATCAAACAGAGTTATTTCAGCAATAAGTCACTCCTGGCTCAGCTCCCGAGAACTCAGTTTGGAGAGAATAATTTTGAATATCTTGCATGCAGTAATATATTCTGTACGATCTCTGTTCTTCCTAAACATCAGAAAACACAAACAGGTGATCCACCTGTGTGTTGCTGCGGTGATTCTGAGCGCCTGTTGCTGTAGCAGCAGGCTGGGGGGTTTCTAGTGCCCTCTTAATGTGCTGGGTGATGCTCATCATTTCCATGCGAGCAGTTCACGCCAGTATAGTGCAGATTAGAAAAGGTGGCCTCTCAGGGTCCTTGTATACTTCTATGATGGTGCAGTACTGTACACCTCAGTAGTGTCCCGGGACCCGTATGAAGTGCCGCTAACAATATTGGCGGTGCTTAGCACCCTGAAAAATCATATTACAAGGAAAGCTTCAATTGTTGGAGAGCTACCATATTTGAGGTCTTCAGGTGTTTGCCCACTTTCCAGCAAAAGTACCAGTGTAAAAAAAAATACTGAAAATAAACTGTAAACTAGTATAAAGGTGGGTGATGGGGGAAGGGGGGGGCCTGGGGCGGGGCGGGGCGTGCGCGTGGAGGCGCGACCTGGGGCGGGGCGTGCGCGTGGAGGCGGGACCTGGGGCGGGGCGTGCGCGTGGAGGCGGGGCCTGGGGCGGGGCGTGCGTGTGGAGGCGGGGTAGGGGCTGGGCGGGGCGTGAGCGTGGAGGCGGGGCCCTGGGCGGGGCAGGGGCGGGGCGTGCGCGTGGGGGCGGGGCCCGGGGCGGGGCGTGCGTGTGGGGGCGGGGCCTGGGGCGGGGCGTGCGCGTGGGGCGGGACGTAAAGGGCGCGCGCGCCGATCCCGCCTGTGGCGAGGGTGTGGGTGACTCGCGGAGGCGCCTGGCCGCGGGGAAGGAGGCTGAGCGGCGGGTCCCCAGGTAAGAGACGCCGGTGCCGGACTGCCCAGCGCCCCACGGTCGGCCGCGCGCGGGTGGGAGCCGGGCGGTGCCGGAGCCTGAGGGGCGCGCCTCGCGCGTGGACGTGGCTGCCCCGGCGCGTCTGACTGGGAGGAGCCCGCGGGGGGGGGAGGGGCGCCGGCAGCTGCCCGGGTGACCTGGGGCGCGGGGCCAGTGCTGCGCTTTGCCTCCGGAAACTTCTGGAAGCAGAGGCGCCAGCTTTGGCTTGTGTCTCGGGGTCCCCGGAGGCGCTGCTCTTGGGGGCTGTAGTGGCAGGAGGACACGGGGCGGGATCTCTGTGACCCGACCAGGCGGGGTAAGAGGAGTCTGGAGCCCGCGGTGGCCTTTCAGGCTTTTATTGGGATTTAGCGGGTAACCGGCAGGCAGGGGTGCTGGGGGCCGGGAGGCTGGCAGGCCCCAGCTAGTCTTCACTCTGTCTGCGCTCTCCGGCCTTCTCTGCGTCTCTCGTGGTTCTGCTTCTGCCGGCGTCCCCTGACGCCGCCCCCACAGCCCAGTCTCAGCACAGGGGCACCCACCTGCGCGTGCCCACGCCCCGCTCCAGGTGCCGCCAATCAGTCCTGATGGCGGGAGGGCAGAAAAGCCTGAAAGTCACTCACCCTGCGGGGCGGTCACTGTCCTGCTTTGGAATCTTTCCCCACAGTGGGTTCTGTGGTTCTGCGGCTGCAGCCAGGGGTTCCTGGGCTGATTCAGAGGTCCCCTGGCCACGAGTCTACAGGGCGGGTGCTGCGGGGGGGCTGGGGCGATGCTCAGACTGGAGGGAGAAGGAAAATGCAGCTCAGGTTCCAGATGGCGGCGCCTTCAGCTCCGCTGAGGGCGCCATGGGGTGGCACCCCAACACTTTGAAGGGGCTTAGAACCTGCTTTCCGTCCTGCTAACGAGAGCCTTACTGTTGAAATGCACCATCAGACCGTACAGAGCCTGGACAATTGGACTGACATTTGCAGTATACTGGCCTGTTTTTATGATTGTTTTAATTAAGTTTACACTGACTTTTGGCTCCAACACTACAGGGGGATAAGACGGCCTCTGCAGGTCTGGCACCTGCCATCCATTCTCAACACAGCTGATGCCAACTTCATTAACGGGCGTTAACTCCATCCACGTGCTCTCTTAAAGACCCTCCTGTTTTGAATTAAGTCATTTTCTAGCTACCATCCCCTAGGATGGGGGGGGGGGTTGTAGTTTACTGAGATGTGCTTAGTCAGCACTTTTAGTCCACCTGCTCCCCCTTGTCTTATTCCTGATAGTTTGACTTTTGCTTCGGGAAGTGAAGGATCTCACTTTTGTTCACTGCTTCCACAGGAGAGGATTTAATAAATGAGTCCTTTGCCCAGTAAGTTTCTGTTACACTACAGTCGTTTCACTGTGCATTTTCAGAAAAAGAAAAAATATGAATGCATGATGTAAAATAGAGCTTAACACCTGTAATTAAACATTTAGAGAAGTAAAAACCTCAGCTCTCTTTATACTGTTTTGTCTGCAGGAATTGCTTTGTACCACACACTTTGGCATAACCTTGATTTCACTGATGACCGTTTTCTTCTCTTACCACTCCTCATGTGGGTGTGGGTACTGTTTTTTTTTTTAAAGATTTATTCATTTATGCATACTAGAACTGGGGTACAGGCCAGAGGTGTGGGGGGTGAGAGGATTCACCAGAGACAGAGTGGGGAACAGGACAGGCAGATTGATATACACTGCTGAGGGGAGCAGCAGGTGCAACAGGAGAGGTCTGCCGCATCATGTGGGTAGCTCCCTGGCCAATGGATCAAACTCATGCTACAGTGGCTGGCTGCTTAATAGCACTGTCTTAAAACCCTGCACCACTAGGGAGACCCATCATTGTCTCTTCTAGGAGTTAAAGAATACATTATAGAATATTACTATGCAAAATAATATATTTTTTAAAAGATTTATTTTATACAAGAACAGGGGTATAGGCCAGATGCACGGGAGGGTGAGAGGATTCATTAGAGACAGAGCAGGGAACAAAACAGGCAGACTGATGAATTACACTGCAGAGGGGAGCAGCGGGCGGGACAGGAGAGGTCTGCCACACCATGTGGGACCCTCACTAGGCGGCCGGGATCGAACCAGCGCTGTAGAGGCTGGGGACAGCTTCAAAGTGCAGCGTTCAACTGCCTGCGCCATCAGGGGAGGCCGGCAAAATAATATTTTAATGGATAATTCATGTCTCTTTCCTAAATCAGAAGCAGTTGTTTTAAATCTTTTTATATCTTTGGTCAGAGTTGTCCCAAGAGGGGGTGGGAATGCCTGGACCAGGCTCAGTGGGAATTGCACAAGCTTGTTATGTTAGGAAACTGAGGCACATGGTCACATTGGCTGAGAACAACGTCCCTCCAGAATGCCTAATCCACCCTTGAAGTTTTGTGTCCTGTGTAGAATGTCTCCTGGGGGCTTCTGCCTTGTACAAGAGCATATCAGACCCCTGCTTAAAGGGGAAAGTGGGGGCTTATTGGTGTAGAAAAGAAATTCTTTTTGTGATGTTTCATCATTACCTTAACTTCCCCCTTCCTCTAGGTGACCTGCCTCCTTCACTCTACAGTAGTGATACTTCTAGAAATTCTGTGGGAAAACAGATTTGTCTCCCACACTTTAAAATCCAATTTTCATCCTTTTCTTTTGATTCACTTGTCCTTGGAAATGGAACTAAGTTTCTGGAATTTTTAAATGTTGCCTTTTGCAGTAAAGGTTTGGTTATCAAAAACTGTATTCGGGGAAATACTTTTCTAGAATCTTCTACAATTTCCTCTGTTCCCTTCTGATGTTTGAGAAAATGGCCCCATAAAAGAAAAAGAATATTTTTGATCTTAGAGATTAATTATGGGGTTCATGCATCAATATATTTTAAATACATTTAAAATAGTGAAAATTATATCTAGGATACATGGTACCAATGTGATCTGTACTTAGGGAACTTGAGAATCTCCTGCAAATGTTGTCTCCCCCTTTTGTTAAAGGGGCTCGGATGCGGCCAGACTTTTGGACGAAAAGCAGCAGCCCTGGTGTGAAGAGAAAGGAGACTGTGTCCTTGTTCCCAGGTAGGTGGGGATGGAGGAAAGGAGGACACAGGTGACGAGCCCAAAGGTAAGGTGGAGGCCAGACCTTAAGTGTAGCTTGGAAACCCTGCTTCCCGGGCACTGTTGCTGGAGAGGCTCAATGCTTCTCCTGAGTGCGCCCCTGGGTCCTGGGGCGTCTCCTCTCTGACACTCCTCACGCTCTTCCACCCTCTGAGGGTCTCCTGTGCCCCGTGAGCTGCCATGGCCTTGACCTCGAGTGCCTGGGCCGTGAGGCTCTGGGTAATCTTGCTGCTCTTGCTTTTGGAGACTTGGTGGTACTTGTGCACATTTCTGAGAAATTCTGTGTTGAGCCATTATTTGTGTATTTATGTATTTACTTATTGTCACACTGCTTGACATCACCGTGTATGATTCTGGAGAATAGGTTCACACCTCCTCAGTTGTGCTTCACCCCACCCCAGACCACCCACACAGTTCTGGATTTGCCTCCTATCAGAAGTGGAAAATAGGGAGCTGTGGAGACTTGGGGATTTGGTGCAGAGATCCGGAAACAGTGGGGACAAATTACACTTTATTATTTGTATGCCTGTGGACGTTTCAGACATGACCATACAAAGTCAGACTCAGTAATTTTAGTACAGGCCAAAGCATCTCCCTGATGAGAAAATGTAATTCTGTTTCACTTCAACATCTTTTCATTTGTATGAACTATCACAACTTTTAACTCTGTGTGCCTCAGTTGTGTAGTTTGTAGTTGCTAATTCCTCAGGGGTGAAGTAGTTTAGTGTATCTATTTACCTCATAGTTTTTTTTTTATTTTAAAATTTTTATTATTTTTTAAAGATTTATTTTTATACAAGAGCTGGGGTACAGGCCAGAGGTGCTGGAGGGTGAGAGGATTCACCAGAGACAGTGGGGAGCAGAACAGGCAGACGACAGAAATACACTGCTGAGGGGAGCAGCAGGCACGACAGGAGAGGCCTGCTGCGCCATATGGGATTCTCGCTGGCCGGTGTGATTGAACCCGCACTGCTGAGGCTGCAGACAGCTTCACAGCATGGTACTCAACCCACTGGCCACCAGGGAGGCCCTTGTTTCTTTTTAAATGAAAACCATAGGGAACTTAGAACTTGGTTCATCCTATAACAAAGTCGCAGCTACTGGGCCTCCCCTGGTGGTGCAGGTGGTTGAGAACTACAATATGAAGCTGTCTGCAGCCTCTGCAGTGCCAGTTCGATCCCGGCCTGCTGGCAAGGGTCCCGCATGGCACAGCAGACCTCTCCTGTCACACCCACTGCTCCCCTTAGCAGTGTATTCTGTCAGTCTGCCTGTTCTGTTCCCCGCTCTGATGAATCCTCTCACCCTCCCATGCATCTGGCCTGTACCCCGGCTCTTGTATAAATAAAATAGATCTTTAAAAAAAATTCATTTTGCTTATAATTTGTTGAGAATATTTGTATTCTATGTTGGTCTGTAGTGTTGGTTGTGATTTTCCTTTTCTGGTTTTGAAATCA